GACCCCTGTGAAAGGGTCGTTTGATCCCCCAAGGGGTCGCGACCCACAGGTTGAGAACCGCTGGCCTAGAACTCCCTGTCCTCAAGGCATCTCACTAGGATGAAGATGCTAAACCCCTCCTCTTCTCACTCCCCAGGGCCTTCTCAGAGGCTGAGCCAGGGTGCCAGCCTGCATCTTGCCTTCTAGCCCTCAGACCACGGTCTGTCCCCACGTCCCCATGAGTCTGCCTTGTCCAGCTCTAAGGTCCATCCCTCCTCTTCCTCCCCAGGCTCCAGCCTCAGTCCAGGCGCCCAAGCTGGGCTGGGCTCCTGGGGCTTCCCTGGTGGTGCATAAACCCGCACGCTATGTGTGGGTGTCCAGTGAGAGGGCAGGGTCATGCGTTGTTCATCTCTGAATTTCCCCCACCTCCACAATGGCTGGAACAGGCCAAAGAGCCACGTGGGGCACTCGGAGAGGTCCTGCTGCAGAAAAGGGGGGTTTTCCTGGCAAAGGGCACAGCCAAAGCAAAGGCAAGAAAGTGGGAAAGCACCTTGTATACCCTGGGTGATGGAGAGGTGATGGGGCTGCCCTACCCCCAAAAGCTCCAACCTCAGGGGAAACTGACCAGAGTCTTACCTGCTTCTATGACCTTTAGGTCAAACTTGACCTTGGAGGAGCCAGCGATGACTGCGTAAGACCCCTGGTCAGTAGGGCCCACATCCCGCACTGTCAGCGTGTGCCGTGTGCCTTCAGCTGTCAGGCCAAACTTGTCACTGGCACTGATGTCATTGCCCCCTCGTTGCCAGCGCACCTTCACTCCTGTCCGCTCTGTCTCAGCCTCGAATACAGCAGGGCTGCCGGCGGCCACTTCCACTGACCGTGGCTTCTTGCTGAAGGCTGAGACTGAGGGGCCAATGGAGGCTTCAGGGTCCCCTGACATGCACATACACCCACCCCTGCAGCCCCTCTTATTAAATACGGTGATAAGCGCTTTAATGCATCACCTCCTTTAATGCTCTAATGTTTCTATGAGGTAGGTGCAGATGTTATACCAATTTCTCAGATGAGGACACCAAGGCTCAGAAAGGTTAAGTGACTTACAAAAATCACACAGCCAGTAGGCAAGAGAGCCTAACCTTCACAAAAGACTTTTTGCTAAGTGCGCCCCTGGATACCCTACCTGGGGAAACCAGCGATGAGCCCAGTTCCCCCTTCCCCGCACCATCTGGGGCCCTTGGTGAAGGACAGGTATTCCGACTACTTGGATGTGGCTAAATTTGTCCTCCAAGGGCCTCAGGCTGAGAATCAGCAACTGAGATAAAGCTGGCCTGGGAGGGGGCTGAGGGATGGGGGGCTGGATCGCTGCCCTGGACAGCCTTGGTAAGGACACAGGCCAGGACCAGGACCCTGTGGGCCTGTGAAAGGCTGTGACTTTCTCTGCCCTTGGCCCGCACTCAGGGGCCTCTTGACCGTCCTCTCCCAGAGCAGTCTGCATTACCTCAACGTGGGGCCATGCCTGGTGTGGGGGCAACAGGGTGCAGGCTCACAAAGCACAGAATCTCAGAGCTGGAAGGAACCAACCCAACCTCTCCTTGTATAAATGGGGAAACTGAGACCCAGAGAGGGGAAGGAGTTGCCCGGGGGCATTCAGTGAACCTGGCTGGAATCTAGACTCAACCTGGGTGCCTGTCTGCAGCGGCCTTTTTCCAAAAGTCAAGCCAAGCCTAACCTTGCTGCAGAAGGAGATGGGGGTGAGGGCAGGGAAGGATCCCCCTGTGTTCTGAGAGTGGGGGGATGTCCCTGGGGGCCTCCTGCATTGGTTTTTTTTCTCCTCTGTGCCCCTGACCTTGGTTTGTCCTCACGCTCGTCAGAAAAATGGGAAGAAGAAACTGAGAGCCAGAAAAGGACCCAGGAGGACAGTCCCGCTTCAAGAACGATCCCAGGCCTGACCCCACAACTGTAGATGCCCCCAGCCCTCTGTGCCCCCGACTCAGCCCAACCCCAGGCCTGGAACTACCTGGCTTCTTCCCCGGCTCAGGCATCTTGAGAGAGGTCACACCAGGAACCGAGCAGGCACAGGCCACCCAAAGAGGATCTGAGCAGGGACCCATCCCCACACTATATAAGGGGCCCTCCCCTCCCAGGCCCTCCTTATCTGCCTCCTTCCCAGCTACCTGCTAAATATAGACAAATTCCAGAGAGTGAGGGCTCTCTAGGAGAAGGTGGGGCCATGTTGTTCCTGGCTGGCCCCTGTCCCTTCCCCCCGCCAGCCCAATATGATGGCTTGTGCCTCCAATCCTCAGTGAACCTCAGGGGTACCCCAAGCTCTGTCTGTATGTCCACCTGATAGGCAAATTGTGCAGTGGGAGTGTGCTGGGCTCATGACCCTGAGGTGGATGGATCAAACGCACATCTTCGCTGGGCAGTGTGGGTGGTAGTTTGCGCACAGACCTGGGGTCAGGCAGCCCTGAGTCCTGGCACTGCCACTCCCTTAACCTCCCAGTGCCTTAGTGTCCTCATCTGTAAAGCGGGGCTGGTGATAGCAGCACCCACTGCGTAGGATTGTCTCATGAATGAAGTGGTCTTACCAATGACAATGCTAGAGCAGTGTCAGGCATGTAAATGCTGAATGAACGTGTGCTCTTATTATCTGGCCCCTGGTATTGCAGCTAACAGTGCCCTGGGCTGGCTTCATGCTGTGGGATCCTGGGTGCGTTCAGTTCAGGTGGGGAGGGGCAGTAGCGAGGGCTGACATCCCCCAAGGGCAAGAGCTGCATGAGCCAGCAGGTGAGGACTTGGAGGTAAAGCTCTAAAAGCACCCCAAAGTGGATGACACAAGCAGAGCTGGCTCTTGCCAAAGTCACAAGGATTCACACAAAAACTACTGTCAAGTTGTTCTGAATCCCCTCATGCCCCCAACTGTTCCCCTGTGACCTCTGCTCCCTGTGACTGGTCCCTCCTCTCACCCCTCTCACATCAGGGCATCAGTTGCTACACAGAAAAAAGGGAAATTACACATGACGCCCTCCAAGTGAGACCCAAAGTCAGGAAAGGTCATTTGTTCCCAGTGGTCAAATGAGCAATTCTCCACACAAGCGCTGTCCACGTGGTCGAAACTTACCATCCCTTTAAACACAGGAATCCATTCTTTTCTGCCATTTTAACCACTTTTAAGCCGCACTGCATGCTCCTGTGCCTTTAGAGGACTGCACACCATTGACCCTCTCCCAGGGTTTGGAGACTCGCGTAGGGAGTGTCACAGTTGGGCTTCCTCGAGCCAGAGCCCTTGGGACGAGGAGGTATGTGGGGTGTCTGCCCCACACTAAAGGCCCCAGAATCTGGGTTCTCTGAGGTCTGCAGGCTGCTCGAGGAAGCTTCCTCACTCCCAGGCTGTCAGCCGACACTTCTTGCTACTGGGGAGTCAGGAGCGAGAAGCTTCTGGGCTTCCTGGCTCATGTTCTGTTTCTCCCCTGCTGTGGGCTGGAAGCCAGAGAGCACAAGACGCTGGGTTTTACCCAAGGGGTTCGCCTGTGTCTGGGGTCCTGCTCACATGGATTCTGTGAGGGCACTTTGTGGCCCACCAGAGCTCTGGGGCTTAATTCCTGCTCCCCACCATATTGAACAGTCCCATTCCGGACACGGGCAGCCTCCTACCTCACACTGACGTGGCAGCCCACGTGGAATAGGATCCGGTGTGCCCCTCAGCAGCTGTGTAACCTTGGACAAACTACGTGACCTCTATGAGCCTCAGTTTCACAGTCTGTAAAATGGGATGATATTAGACTTTACTTCTCCAGGCTGACATGTAACAAATGGCCAGAAAACCCAGCGTTGTTGCCATTATCATCATGATGATCATCATTGGGGCCGTAACCAAAAGATTATGAGTTTAAGGCTTTAAAAAACAAAATTTCCAGGTCTGGAGGGCTTTTTAATGATTTGTTCCCCCTAATAACAACTGACGGCTCCTTCTTTCTACCAGGTCTAACTCCTGGTCGGGCACTGTGTGTTATTTATCCTCATGTCCCCAGCATCCGTGCATTGGGTAGGGTCTTCAGTAAGTGCCCGATGGACAAATGAGAAAAAGACAGACCACACAGGGGGCCCAGGCAAGGTGCATAAACAATTTTAAAAGAGATTCTCTGTGCTGCAAGAGGACTCACTAAGAATAATTTTAATAATGGGATTTCTTTAGGAAGCTAATAGAGGAGAAGTGTGGGCAGGGAGAGACGCTTGAAAAGGAAGGTTCCATTTACAGACATGATGACTTCGAACTCCCAAGGAAGCACCCTGGTTTACAAACAAGGCTGACCCTGTCCTGGGGTCAGATGCCCAGGAGGTCTTCTGAGGCTGGGCTGGAGCTCCTGTGGGAGGCGAAGCGGGGGCGTGGATGGGGGCTTAGAGGAGGGGGGAGGCGAGGCCTGGCCCACCACAGTCCTGCCCTGGCCCCTGGGAGCTTCACTCCCTGTGTCCGGCTGGGCGAGGGGTTAATGCTATGGCCAGTGGGGCGGCCTGGCGGGCACGGCGGGTCTGCGGGCCGGCTCAGTGGGGCGGGTGGCGCCGCTCGGCCAGGCCCCCGCGGCCCAGCACCTCCCCGCTGAACTGGTAGGTGAGCTTCTTCTTCACCTTCTTCACCTCGCCTGTCTTGCCGTAGTTGCGCAGGGCGCGGGCCATCTTCTGGTAGGTCATCTTCTTGCGGTTGCCCTTCTGGACGCCCCAGCGGTGTGCCAGCGCCTCCTTGTGCTTGGACGAGAACTGGAAGGTGCCCTTGTCCTTGTCCACCCACCAGATGCTGTCCTTCATGTCCCCGCTCCGGAGCAGGTCGAGCAGGAACTGGTACAGCCGGATCTTCTTCTTGCTGCCTGTGGGCGGGAGGCGGGGTGGTCAGCGCCCCAGCACGGGGGGGCCGATGCCCGCCTCCCCGTGGAGAGCCACCGGGGAGCCAGCGCCTCCATCCCTTGCCTGGGACACACGCTACACTCACACCCACTCACACCCAGCACAGAGCGGTACAGCACTCGTACACACGTGCTCACACACACGCCTAGGTGTACGCGGTCACGGACACCACCACAAAACACATGTGAACACACACATTGGCAAACGGTCTCACACACACACACACACACACACACACACACACCCCACTCAGCTCTGTGGTATAACTGTTGCATCTATTGGCCTTGTCTGGGGTGGGCGTGGGGCACACACGTGGCTGGGGTTGGGCCCCCCTACCTGTTTCTCCGTGCAGGAGGCCAGGCCCTGGCTCTAGGCCATCTGCCTCCCCGTCAGACACCTCCAGCGGGGGGCTCTGCCTCTCGCCCTCCTCCTCATCCGAGCTGGGCTGGGCCGGGGACAGGGACGGGTATGGAAGGCACATGCGGGGTATGTAGGGGACCTGGAAAGGTGAGGGAAAGAGAGTTGAGGTCAGTGAGGGATGTTTAAAGCTCAGGGCTGTGGGACAGGGGTCAGTGGAGTGAGAACATGGAGCGCTGAGGGCGGGGAGGTCAGCAGGGGCCAGAAGGATTTGAAAGAAGGTTGGGGAAATTGGAGTTCAGGCAGGGTCACCACACATAGGTGCAGGTCATGAGGATGGAGGACTGCTGAAATCCTGCCGAGCTGGGGCCCCTGGTTCAGGGCTGAGTGGCCCAGGGGAGGGGCCCCTTTTTCTCCTAAGCACAAAGTGCCGTATGGACTAGCAGTGGCCCTGGGGTGAGAAGTGGGGGTGAGGAGAAGCCTATGAATTAGGTACCAGAGTGAACAACTGGGCAATGAGTGAGTGGAGGGACAGTAGAGGTCAGTGAAGGATGACAGAGGTCAGTGGAAGTTCCCAATCAGGATTAGGGTGGGTGGGGCCGAGGAGGGTCAATAAAGGAGGTCAGTAGGGAGATGAAGGGGCCTGTAGAGGTCCGTGGAGGTCAGTGCTCAGTGTCTTGGAAACCAGCTCCATGGAAGGGCCAGTAAATGGGGGTTACAGCCAGTGCAGGTCAGGAGGGCCTACGACAAGGCCGTTGGAGCCAGGCAGGTCAGTGTGAGGGGGGTGGGAATTATCTGGGCTCTGTCCATTCTGGGGCGAGAGGAGATAAGGGGTGTGGGGTCACGAGGTCAGGCGGAGGGTCAGGAGGAGCCGTTGGGGCTCCGGCCGCCGTTGGCAGTGTGGGACAGGAAGTTGAGTAAGAGCCTGTGTCAGCTTCCTGTGAAGCCCGGGCCTCGCCACAGGCCCAGGGCTCCATCGGGCCGGGTTGGACACACAAACCTGGTGGCCGAGGCCGGCATGGGTGGGCGCCATGGGGGTGTCAAGCACGTGCATCTGCTCCAGTTCCATGTGACGATAGAGCTGCTGCAGCTGGGGGGGCTGCACGCTCTGCAGCTCCGTGAAGTGGTTCTCGGCAAAGCTCTCGAACTCGCTGTGCACATGGTGTGGGTGAAAGTCCCAGTAGTGGTCTGCAGGAGATGACCAGGCAGTAAGAGTTCAGTCCAGGGGCGAGCAGGGCAGGAAAAGGTTAAAGTAATTTAAAAAATAAGAATGCCAGGCCTATGGGGCTATTACCATGGGCCAGTCTGGGCTACAAGTTGACGTTAATCATCTCACCACCCAGCTTGTTATTTGATAACCCCGTTTTATAGATGAGGATCCTGAGGCTTGGAGGGGCTGCTATATAACATGCTCACAGTCAAAGGCCTTGTAAGTGGCAGAGCCGGGACCCAGGCCTGAAGCAAAGCCCGCATTCTCAACAACCTTTCCATTCTGCCTCTCATGTGGCCACAAGGCAGGCTTTTGAATCCTGGCACTGCTATTTACTTCCTATGCGACCTCAGGCACATGCATGGACCTCTCTGGCCTCAGTTGGCTCACCTGTAAAATGGGGATAATAATCAAAAGGATACCAATGAGTTCACATTTGTAAAACTCTTCGCCTCAGAATAGGCCCTCGGGGAAGGTTGGTTCTGCTCTCCTCCCCTTAAGACCTCCCTGTGGCTCCTGAGCTGACTGGCTGCCCACAGTCACATGCACATGGCCTTGTCACATGGCCGTGGTGTGTGACTACAAAGTCACAGGGCTGACATTCCTCACACACCAGAACTAGTCCAGGCTCATGCTGCTGGCCCTTCAAAGCCATGACCTTGGGCCAGCTGCATCTGTGTTCCAGTGAGGTTGCTAGGACCCAAAGCTTTCCTGGAAACTCCCCCATGGGTGTTTTCAGAGTCTGTGGTGGGGTGGATTCAGGTTTGGGGAACAGCCACATGCCACTGAGAGCCCTGTCTTGGGACTCGGGCAAGTCTTCAACATGGTTCCTCTGGGCACCTTTTCCAAGAAAACTGCCACATGTCTAAGGACTTCCTGGGTACAATTTTGGGTCCAAAAGAAGATATGGTGATAAAGTGACAAGAGGGATTTTCTCATGTGACCCAAACAGGGAGTGTATAGGGGGACCTGCAGGGGGACCACCAACAGCCTACATGCGTGTGTGTGTGTGTGTGTGTGTGTGTGTGTCTTCTTTCTTTTTCTCTCTCACACAAGCATATACGCACTCACACATTCCTAAGAAATGACGTGGGTGTTTTTGGCTGTGGACTGGTGATCAGAAGATGTGCTTTCTAATCCTGCCCTGTGGTGGCTTTGCCACGTGACCTTGAACAAGACATTTTATCTCCCTGAGCCTCTGATGCCCCATTCTAAAGGTTGGAGACCCAGCCGGGTAGTTACTGATGTCCTGTCCACATGTGAAATCATTTGAACCCTCAGTCCAGACTCCCACCTCTATGAGACTGCATGGCACAGAGGAGAGAAAGTACATCGTTTGGGAGTCAGGCAGACTGGGTTCAAATCCTGGCTCTGCCATTTACCACTGTGTGACATTGAGCAGATCATTCCACTTCTTTAAGCCTCAGTTTCCTCATCTATAAGGTAGGGCTAAAAATTACACCTATGTCACAGGCTTGTTGTGAGGATTAAATGAGCCTGCAAAGTGCTTGGAATAGAACCTAGCACAAAGCAAGATTCAATAAACACTATTATTATTAATTGTTATTATTAAGAGCCTGGATTAGCACTTGAGCAAACAGCAGACGCTTTAATATATGTGTGTTTCCTCTTCTTTCCCCTGCTCCCGCCACCTTCATCAGTGGTCCATAGAAATAGTTTTAAGGACCCTAGCTGTCACTTTCTCCCAGAGGCTGGAGTTGGGGCCCCAGCATCATACCACGATGGCAGTGTGTGCTTTTACTCACTTCCATATTCCCAGTGCCTAGCTAGACCCAGGAGGCACTCCACAAACATTCCTGAATGAATGAATGAATGAATGAACCCTATTCTCTTAAGAATTCTCACTGACTCTCCTGCATTAAATTACCTGAAACTGAAAGGGAGACAAAACAACACTTTATTTGCATTTTCATCTTCCAGTGAGTTAACAAGATCCAGAAACTCTCCACTTGCTGTGGGAGGGTTGGCCATCCTTTAGCGATGGGCCCTCTGGGATTTGGTGAGCAGACCCGGGTGCCTCTTTTGCTGTAGATCCACCCTGCGGACCCACTCCTAGCCCGTCCCATTTTTGCCTTCCTTTGCTCAGGCAGAAGTACCCAGATCTTCTTAGAATGCTTCGTGGATCCTGCCCACCACGTCCCCGTCCTCACACCCACTCTAGTTTGGGGCTAGGAGGACCCTGAGTGCATGCAGCTCTCCGGGTGTGGGGTGAGGGCCCCTGATTGCCCCTTTGCTCCTGCTCCTCACGACTGCTCTACCTCCACCTGAGACGCATGGGCTCACTCTGGTGGTCCCAGCCTGAGGCCAGCATTTCCCAAAGCAGGTTACAGTAGACTTTCATCAGAGTCACTTGCGGGGCTGGAAAAGCCTGCAAGTTTGGGGGCCCACCAGAGATTCATTGGATCAGAAGCACTGAGAGTGGAGCTGGGAATTGAGGTTCCTTTGCTCACTGAAATTCTGGGACCCTGCCCCAGAGTCCCCTGAAAGCTGCCACGGAGACACTTGAGCTACACAAAAGGCACAATGGAAACCTCACCTTTACCCTTGATTTGGGCACTCAAGCAATTGTGTAATAAACGCGATCTGGTAGGCAGAGATGGTCCACATATGGGGCCCACTGAAGAAACACAACACGTACAAGGAGTCCTTCCTAATGCAAAGGTCAGCACTCTTGGGCTCTCTGGATCTCATTTCTGGATGACTGGTCATGAATGCATTGCTTTACCCCTTTTTGTCCCTTCAATGGGCCACCCAGGCCATCCTGCAATATATGCCCCCTTAGCATGACTCTCTGCTCCTCAAAAGAATATAATGTCATTTGCATATCTGGAGATAGCTCTGGACCCTCCTTTCTATAACCTGTTAGGGACCCAGCACATAGTAGGTCTCAATCAATATTTGATTAAATGACCAGTAAAAGTCAACTTTTAATGTCTTTTTTCTTTTAATGTTACCAGGCACTAAGCTAAGTACTTAATCCACATTATCTCATTTAATCTTCACCTTAGCTTTGACCAGGTGGTCATTGGTAGAGTCAGGATCCAAACCTACCTGTGACTCCAGGGACTGAACTCTTACTGCTCTACCATGCCATCTCTGAGGAACAAGACTGTTAATGGAAGCTTTAAGTAAGCCCCATGGTGACAGAGAGACTTTACTAACTGCTCTTATTCATCTGTCATCCACCCCTCATCCATCATCCATCATCCATCCTTCATCCACTCATCATCTATTATCCATCCTTCATATTCACCCATCCATCCATCCATCATCCAGCCAGCAATGACCCATTCATCTAAATTTCTAATTTCCTCCCTCTAAACCAGCTCCCAGCCTGAGACCCAAGTCCTACCCACACATCCCTATTCTTACTCAGTTTTTTTTGGTGTCACTAATACCTTAATGTCACCAGGACAAAAATAAAATGATATTCAAAACAACCCCTTACACACAAAATTCAAGCCTTCAGTGTTATTCATTTGACCTTATCTCCTCAGAGCAGAAACCCCAACCTGAAGCCAGGGCTCCCCCAGGGGAACAGAAGTAAGATCAAGACAGAGAAGGAAGATGAGGAATTAAGAAAGTAAGAGCTGATAAAAAAAAAAAAAACTTTCTCAGGAAATCACAGACCATTGGATGAGGGCTGCTGAAGACCAGCCTCCTGCAAATTGTTCAGAGACAGAAAATGAGGGCCCAGAGCAGAGAGCTCCAGGTCTCATGGTTCTGATTATTCTCTACCTTATATCCTGGTTTTTAGGGCTTCGGGTATTTCCCTTGTTGCAAAGGTAAATCTGGCAGGACCTGAGTTTTATTCACTCCACAGCACCTAGCAATGTGCCTGGAATATAAAAGATGCCTATATATGTTTATTAGATGGACAAGTCAGTGGGAAATGGATGGAGGGCTTGGTAGGTGGTGGGAAGGATGATTGGAAAGGTGAACAAGTAGATGATTAGATTGATGTGTGAATAATTAGGAGATGGTTAGTGATATGAAAGGATGCAAGAGTGTGTGGAAAGATGGGTTGGGCAGAGAGGAGTCATACTTTGGAGCTATATTTCCTTTACTAATCCCATCATATTGGGTTGTCGGAAAAGTCATGACGCATTTTTGCAACCAAAAACATAGAAAAAATTCATCATGACTTTTCCGACAACCCAATAAATAGAAAATCCTATCAAACCCAGTAGGATGGTTATTATTAAAAAAAACAAAAAAAACAGAAAATGACAGGTGTTGGCGAGGATGTGGAGAAATTGGAACCCTTATGCACTGTTGGTGGGAATGGTAAAATGGTGCAGCCACTATGGGAAACAGTATGCTGGTTCCTCAAAATATTAAAAATAAAATTACTATATGATCCAGAAATTCCATTTCTGAGTATATTCCCAAAGGAACCAAAAGCAGGGACTCAAAAAGATATTTTGCCACCCATGTTCACAATAGTATTATTCACAATAGCCAAAAGCAACCCTGGTGTCCATCGACAGATGAACGGATAAACAAATAGTGCTCGATACATACACTGGAATATTATTCAGCCTTAAAAGGAAGGAAATTCTGCCACATGCCGCCACATGGATGAACCTTGAAGATATTATGCGAAGTGAAATATGCCAGTCACAAAAAGAAATACTGTGATGTATGATTGCACTCATGTGAGGCACCTAACGGAGTGAAATTCACAGAAACGGAAAGAATGGTGATTGCCAGGAGCTGCGGGGAGTGGTTAATGGGGAGTTATCGTTTAATGGGTACAGAGCTTCAGTCTTGCAAGATAGAAGAGCTGTGGAGATGGGCGATGGTGACGGTTCCACAACAGTGTGAGTGTGCTAATGTCACTGAACTGTACACTTAAAAATGGCTAAGATGGTAAATTTTATATTTTGTGTATTTTACCACAATTAAAAACATAATAATAATAAATAGCAAATTCTATGAGCCCTGCCTTCAGAAT